CATACTCTTCTACACTAATCAACATAGAAGACCAAGTTCATACTTTAAGTGATACCTGACACCAAGCCAAGTTCTCCAATTTTTGGTCATTATTTTGAAGACATTTTGTTTGAAAACTACATAGCCATGAATCACACTCCACCTCACAATCCCAACCCAAACCCAAACAATGAAGATGCTAATACGCCACCCAAATAACCAAGACAGCAACAACAACACCAAGGACCTGGCATAGATATGCCACCTTGGAATCAACCTCCTTCTCACCCAAATCAAATCAATTATCAACAACCACAACCACAAAACCAAAACTTCCACCAAAACAACCAACCTCAAAACAATGCTCTTGGCTGATTTTGTGGAGTTGGGTTTTGAAGGTTCCGCTGTTTCTGAAATTTCAGAGGGTGTTGGCGAGTATTTTTTTAAAGGGGGCTGTTAGAAGGAGAATATGGGGGTACTTTTGGGAAGGACGAGACAGTAATTTCTAGTTCGTTTCACAAGGGACTGCCTTGTGGGGTGGTAGGGAGGATGATAATGACCCAAAGAAACCACCTGACTGTTTTTGCTTTGCTGCCATTTTATTTAGTTTCCTTGCAGTCTTCTTAATTTCTAGATAAAAAACTAGAGGTGTACCTGTACGAAAAGCTCTTGACATACAAAGTATTAGAAGCACCGTGTCCCCAACAACGACTTTGATTTGTTAAACCGTTGCCGCACATGATTTAAGCAAATAATATTTATCACTACTAGATTGCACTAATGGATAACACAGGGAAGCATGGTCGAATGCTAAGGGACACAGCCTAATGGTCAATGCCTCTTTGTGTAAGGCACATACTTGTCAAAAACATAAAATATAAAAGGGGGATTTTTTATTGCAGTGAAAATAAACTAAGAAAATTCAATAATAAAAACGAATTCAACTCTGCTATGACTTTCCTAATCATGCAATCAACTTAAATCTGGTTATTAAAAATGCGTTCTATCTAAGTTGGTACCGAGAGAAAACTAACAAGATCTAGTATAATCTCTTTTACCTTGTTAAATTAACTAAAACAAGCTCTTGAGTTAACCCTAACTTTCTATTGTCTAATTAAACAAGCTCTTAATTAAGATCAGAAAATAGATCTATGTAAAATTCCCATAAATACCCAATACTTCTCGTAAACTCGGAAGCGTAAAGGTATGAGATTTCAGTTTATATCAGAGTTAAATCCCAACCCGGAACCAAATATGATACTTTTTACTTATTACCAGTTGACAAGAACATTTACGAATTCTATTAGTTGATTAACTGGAATGATTAATCCCTAACTAGGTCATCAGACTAACAAGAATTAAAAACCAAGTGTTCATTAAGCTCAAAACTGAAACAACTAGATAAAAGAACACAATGAAAACCAAATCTGATAACTGATCACATGAAAGTACTTGTCTAATATAGAACTGAAAACTAGGGTTTTAGCCAGACATGGCCAAAAACGAATTAAAACTAATAAAAAGTTAAACTAACTGATTAATCTTGCTAAACTAAATGTAAGAGATAATTCACAACCTTTAGATCTTCAGAAAGTGCTGAAAAGTATCAGAAATTACCTACAGAAGGGTTTTTCGTCGTCTGGATTCGTCTCACCTTCTAATCTGATCAGGAGGGTTGTATTTATATGCAAGCAGGAACCTTCCGGAGCAAGGTAGCAAAATCTGCGATTGAATATATCAAAAATGCGATCACATTTTTGTTGATTTTCTCCCGAATTGTCTTTTAATGAAATACGATGCTATTTCTAATATTTTTTGAATTGCGACATGGAAATGTGATTGCAGAAAGGTAAAATACGATCTCATTTTTTGTGATTTTCCCTCTAGATGACTTTTTCGACCTTAACAATCCCTGATTAACAAATGCGGTTGCAAATGTCCAAAAATACAATCACATTTTTGTCTTTTCGGCACGATTTAGTTGTGGTTCTTCAGTTTAAGCATTCCAAGTCATTCCTCAGCATCCTTCTTTAGTTCCAACTTCATTTAGGCTCTACAGATGCATCCAAATGCTCCCAAGGTACCACTCCACTCAGATTATCTGAAACTGACAGAAAAACGCTAGTAGTACGATAATTCCGACAAAAGACACGAGATGAACATTGTTTAAACTAATCACATGAAAATATGTAAAATATGATGCTAAATGCTAATAAAAACTATCCTAAAAGATGCATAAAATGACATTTATCATGGGTTAAGCAAGATGATGTTCCTTCTATCTTTTCTCTACACTCAACTTGTACCATATGTATCCATATATTGTACCAAACGGTGTATGATGGGAATATTCAATTCCTTGTGTTTAAGGTTGGCAGGGTTGTAAGTAAGAGGAGAGAGAAAAAGTTAATGTAGAGCATGTGTGACATCAAGATTATGAGATTAAGAGGGATGGTCACCCACCACCTTTATAATATATATATATATATATATATATATATATATATATATATATATATATATATATATATATATATATATACTTACATATATAACAAAAATAAACCTTGAATCAAAGCTGAAAAATAGTAAAACACAACAATATATTTGTATTTTAGTTTTTATTTAATGAATATAAATAAGAAACAAGGTTATCAAAGTTTGATTATTTATATACTTCTCCTAGTAGATGCTTGAACACCTCCTCAACTTCATATATCAAATAAACTAGAGTAAGTTATAGTCTTGGTCCTTGTGGTTTACATGAAATAACAGTCTTGGTCCTATTTTTGGAAAAGTAACATCATTGTTCCCTATGGATGGTTTTGGTAATACTCATGGTCCATAAGACTCAACTTCGTGAAAATGCCAATATACCCCTTTCTATTTTAGTCCCTTTATTGATATTGTTGATAAGCTGAAGGAACATTTCTAAAATATTTTGAAAACTTTTTCCTCATCTCATCCTAGTGTAGTCGATGGAGGTTTTTTTATTTCCATAGAAGCAGTCTATTGTGAACATCAGAACCACCTATGGCCTCTTTCTTTGCCTCTCCGGAGTCACCCATCATTACCACTTTCTCTTTATAAACAATCTCTCCATCTCCTTGTCTCCCTTTCTCACTTTTCGACACATTTCACACATTTTTTATGTATTAATTTGAGCTTTTCCACAACAGGATTGCATATCTGAGACAAAAGGCAATGAAGCTAGCAATATAGGAGACTAGAAGTCATCACATCGTAATCGACAGAGAGGTAATAGAAAGTGAACTTATCCATAGATCATTAGATCTAAGAAATTTTGTGGCGATCATGATGACTAATCATCAATTCTTCATACTCCGTGTACAACGAAAGCTACTTAGGAGTTCCATTTTCAGTTTATTTTGATTTTTTTCTACTTTTATATATTTAAGAACTCCTCTGAGCTTCATGAATAGGATTAAGATTTTCCCTAATTTGATTTATGAAAACATTATGCTACTTTCTGTTATGAGTTATGATCTCTTGATTTTATTATCATGATATACTCCATGTTCAATTTCTGAAGGCACTATATTACTTCCATTAGTGAAATACGAGTTGTGTTTGGTACTTGATGACTTTTCCCATTGTTCCTCTTCAATGCTTGAAACTATTTTTCACGATATGCTAGTGGGTTTCATTTAAAATGAATTTGAGTCACAAAATTTCTGGAATAAATGACAGATTGTTGACGAATTCCAAGATGAGGGAATGTAATGGTTGATGGAAATAGGCAAATGTTACTTCTTTTTGTTTGGATTTTTGTTTTTTCCACTGGCAGTGGCATGGTAGTTGTAAGGGTGGTGGTGATTGGTGATGATGGTGGTGGTGACTGGTGATGTTGTTGATAATGGTGGTGTTGATGGTGATTGGCGGCGGTGGTTGCTGACGGTGGTAGGTGTTATGACAAAAGTAATTAAAACACGAAATACAACAAACAGAAACACAAATAAATCAAATTTATATACAAGATTCATAATCAGAAAACATACTTGAATGTTGATGTTTACAACAGAATCATAAATACGAAAATATGTAGATTGAGGCTTGCGAATGCAGTGTCCTAAGACAGAAATTGCCCTGGAATGGTCTGTCTTGAGGATACAACAATCAATTCAAGAACAGATCTTGAATATGTCGAAAATCACCATGATCCCTTGTGATATGAAGAACGAATTTTTGAGAGAAAGTGTATGTTTTCATTAGTCTTTAAATAATGTCTGATTTCATGTATTTATAGCCTTCCAATGGTGATTGTAAACCACCAACCGAAAACTAACTGCTAAAAACTGCCAAACGGTGAAGTCTCTAAATAACAGAATTTTACTAAATAAAAAATTAATTAATTAAAATTAATTTTGGATTTATAAAAATAAAAATATATTAATTATCCAAGAAGAGCCCCAAGGCCCAAGGCCCTATCTTTGATTATTAATATATATAAATAAATCCAAGCATTCTACTAGCCCAATTTGACTAGTCCAACACCACAACCCAAACCCAATATGCTTAACTCATTACTTGATCCATTTGATTAAATGGGTGAGAAAAGTCTTATAAAGAGAAAGAAGGTTTTCTCTTCTTCCTATGTGGGACAAGTCCCACATTTTATTATTTATAACAAAGTTCCAACAGTAGGTGGGTGGTAGTGGTGGTGGGTGAGTGGTGGTGGTGGGTGAATGGTGGTGGAAGCAATGGTAGAAGTTTATTTTTGTCTTTTTGAAATGTTTAACAACCCATCTATTAGGGTTGCTAAAGGGAGGACTATCAATGTTACCAAAACCCTCCATAAGGACCAATGGTGTTACTTTTCCATAAGTAAGAGCAAGACTATTATTTCATGTAAACCACAAGGGACAAGGTTGTAATTTACTCAATAAACTATTGATATGTTCTAGAGATCCTTATATGTGAATAAGATAACAAATATGCATACACATTCTAACACACACACTTATACATACATACTTTTGTAATCATATATGTGTCGAAACCTAGTTCTCTACACATGGTTTAGCTAAAACTGAACACTTGATGTGGTGCAGTGATTGTTGAAGGTCGTCACATAACCTTCGGGGGTCAGGTATAGTTTTTTCATCTGCTGATAGAACAAATGTCACTTTGTCAACATAACTGATCACATGAATCATCAATCCCTATAAAAAACAAAAAAAAAATCATCAATTTCAAGCTTTCACAAATTAGGTTGGCTGTAATAACTATTAAATAATTAGTTAATCATCCTCACACTGGGTATCCCGTAAAGACTAGGAGCAAGATAGGTAACTTCATGTCCGAGGACACATATTTCTTCTTTTGGTCCAGGCATATTGGAGAAGCAAAATGTTGTGTTGTAGTAAACATTACGATTCAACTTTCCTGCAATCTATATATGTAATAATTTTTAGGGGTTGTTTGGTAACTTTTAAATGGTTTGCTGTTGAATGATTTAAAGGTTAGGAATAAAAACATGTTGGTTGTTAAGATTAGTTATATAAATAAAACCCAAATAATTAAAAAAACAAAAAACAACAACTTAATAATTATAATAAAATTATAATAAGTATAAAATAATAAAAAAAGAACTTCTAAATAAATCAAATAATGAATTAGCTATGTTATTATGCTAAAAACAAATAATAAAAATAACTTAATAATTAGATAAATTTTTTCCACTCTAATTACATTAAATTAATAATTGATTTTTCATTTTAAATTTTTTTCATTCTAATTATATTAAATTAATAACATTAGGTTAAAAAATAAAATAAAATTAATGCAGATTATAAGGTGATATAACTTCATATATTTATTTAAATCAACAATTATCATTTTATATAACTAAAAAAATATCTCTTAAGTAATTATTTATTTAAAATAATTAATTAATAATGTTTATTTTTTAATATGAAAGTTTAATTAATTTTAAAACTGTGGTTATAACGGGTTATAAACTAGTATATATATATATATATATATATATATATATATATATATATATATATATATATATATATATATCTATATATATATATATATATATATATATATATATCAAGTTCTAGTTGCAAATACTATAATAACTATTTTCTTTAATTTAGATTTGTTTTCACCGATTTTTTGTTATAATAAATAAATAAGTACTAGGATTCCTAAACTAAGTAACTAAATAAAAAAATTAAATATATTTCTATTTTTTTTTCTATTTGTCTTCCTTTCCATATAAAATGATGATAAGTATCTTAAAATATTATTAATTTTATAAAAAAAATATTTATCACCATTTTATATAGATAAAAAGATACATAGGAGTAAAATGTTAAAAGGATATTAATTTCTCAATACATTATTTTTTCTTGGCAAAGCAATACATGTATAGATCAAGTACCTTCATACCAAACAACTTATTGACCAATGACTTGGCAAAGAATCTAGTGGCAAATGGTTCTAAAGAAGCTTTTCTGCGTTCCATGGTAGACTTTGCTTCCCGTACATAGTCTAACGGGTCACTTCTATTTTTGACGTTGAATGGAAGTAGTATATAACCTACCTTGTATCCCCATGTTTCGTTTTCATTTGTATTTTTCGCAGAAGCCTAGTATATATCGTAGAGACATAAAACTGTTCAGCAATTAAGCAACAACTAATAAGACATTCTTGACATACAGGAAAAGTAAGGAGGGAAAATACTCACATCAACATTCACAGAGGCTCGCAAGTTATAAGAAATCATTGCACGAAGGAGAATGTTTTCTGGAACAGGACTATTTATCTCTTCTGTAACAGGGTTCATGTTTTGTTATTGTTCGTATTCTATGTGCAGGTACATAGTTTCTTACTCGTAGGTTTTGTACTTTATATAAAAATAAACTCACCATATCTCCGCTTTAGGTAACGGTTGAAACCAGCTTGTATAACTCCAACTATTACATCGTTCACAGTCTATAAAACAAGTATCGGTGAACATGTAATATTGTAATATGTACATATTATAAGTTTTCGTCTGTTAATATTAAAGATCGTTTGTTCATCGCAATTTGTTTTTTTTAGTACAGTAGACGCACTTAATATTGGTTTTCTTAGATCTCCCAAATAATTGTGCTTAACAAAAAAGAATATAACGCTTTCATGATATACAGAAAAAAGCTAACCGAAAAAACTTATCGATAATTAAGATTTGTGATGATATCATTGCCATAGGGCATCAACATGCAAAATTTAAGAATAAATATATACTTACAGCATTCATAGCGTTTTTCACCAACTTTATGTCAGCAAGGCTAACACTTCGAGTAACAATGCGCCGACGTCTATCTTCAACACCAGTTGAGGCTTTCATAGGTGTTTCTGTGTCTTTTAGAAACATGGTAGTGAACACAAACAACATAAGTGCGACAAAAGTGTTCCAAAGAACCATACAAAAGGAAATAACATTAGTAGCTGTGGTGGTATGATGATGGGCCTTCATATTCACGGGAAGTGTAGGCAATGCCTCAGGATCGGAGGCCTTTCGACTAAGAGAAAGCAACATACTCATAAATGACAGACCATCTCCAAGTGAGTGATGAGCACGAAAGATGCATGTGCCTTGTGCATCCGAGGTCCTTGTGTTGAGGATGTGTACATCCCATAATGGTTTCAAGTTGTCAATACAAGATACAGTAAGATTTGAGATGTAATCTTCGATGAATTGGTCTGATGAATCCATGTTTTGTTCGATTTCCGGTACAATAAGATGGTCATCTACGTTTACATGCGTGGGAACCCATTTCATGCTCCCACTTTCTTTATCTTTAACCTGTATAACAACCAATGAATAGTATTTCAGACAATTGAAAGACTGAAAAAAGAACTTTCATGAATGATAGTTAAATTCTTAAACTCTAGCTTATAATGCATATGAAGGTGTAAAAACATCATTCTGTAGTTTAGTAGTATACCACCACTTGAGAGAAGCAAGGATATTTATCAATCATTTGAATCAAATAGGCTTTAGTTCGGTTGATATCGAATGAGGATTTTGCACCAATTTTAGTGAGGATGTAGACATTAAAACCTGGCTCATGAAAAAACCTAGCCCCAGAACTCAATGGCTCATGCTCATGATCGCCTTCTCCGTCTTTCAAACACACATATCTTACTGTATCTTCGATGTTTTTTGTACCCTTAAGAAGGTTTAAGCTTGGCGTTTTACCCATGATCCTTGATAATCTAATAGAACTGAGTACTTCCACAAAGGAATCGATATGTATATCGATACAGGATACAATGGCACGGCTCAATGTACCATTTTATACTCAGAGAGAGAGAGAGAGAGAGAGAGAGAGAGAGATGGGGCTCTTTTCAAGAATGCAATGCGAATCTATGTTTCGTAGTAATTGATATTAACTATGCCATTAAAGTCATTAAGAGTCGTAAATGCGGTTCTAAAAAAAATTAAGAGTCTTAAATAGTACGCAAATTTAGCCCAAAAAAAAAAAAAGGTATTCGATGAACACCTATTAATCCTAGGACTGCCACGTTATATACTTTTTAGACAAAACTTCAAAAATGATCCCTGTAGTTTACGGAAATATGAAGTTTAGTCTCTAGTTTTTAAAACCCTCACAGATGGTCCCTGTGATTTCAAAACTTTTAACAAATGATCTTTTTCGCTAACTCCGTTACCTTTTGACCGTTAAGTGAATGACATTTCTGTCATTTCACTACCACACGGACCATTTATGAAGTTTTGCCTTATTTAAAAAAAAAGAAAAACAATATAATTATTTAATATTAAAGGGACTCTCTCTCTCTCTCTCTCTCTCTCTCTCTCTCTCTCTCTCTCTCTCTCTCTCTCTCTCTCTCATTTCCACCCCTTTTTATAAATCACCGCTGGATTCCATTCTTTCATTTGAATGAAGTTGGATATAACAAAGGAAAAGTTGGTGGAACAGAGCAATGTTTTGGTTCTGTCATTTCATCGAACACTTTATGTGTATAGCTCGTCTGATAATTTATTATAAATGAATGCACAATTATTCATCCATAACTTAGTATATGAAATCCCGTAGATAACAGGGGCACATGGAAGGATGAAGGTATGAAATTGAGGAGATTAACAAACAAGTGCGTAGAAATGTGGTTGCTGAAACCGAGAAAGTATTCATCTATTTTGCACGTGAAGCACTGAAACACATACCTAACATCTATTCAGTTGGTTCTTGTTGTCTGGTAGGGATCATATGGAATAAGAAATTGTTCGTTACTAATTTGGGTGATTCAATAGCTGTTTTAAGGCGTGCGAATCCACGAAATTTAAGCAAAGTCATCGCCCAACCGCTTACAAACGATCATAATGCGAGCATGATGGAAGTGAGACGAGACCTACAAGTCGATCATCCAGAGGACCCCAACATCGTTGTTAGATACGAACATGGTGTATGGCGAGTTAAAGGCATTGTTCAGGTTAATTTCATTAACTCTCTCTTAATATAAACAATAATTATAAATATTCCAGAATCAATTCATAATCTCATACTACTTCTAATGTTCTACAATTAGATTTCTCGATCAATCGGAGATTTATACCTAAAGAGTTCAGAATTTGATATTGTTGATCCAATTTACCCACGATTTCGCCTAACCGAACCTATCAACAAACCCGTATTGAGATCCGACTCGGCTGTACAGAGTAGAGATAGAGAAACCACTGACAGGTTTATCCTTGCTAATAAAAGAATAATATTATTTTCTAATGCAAACAAACGTATTTTTTAATTTATTCTAACTATTATACCATTTTCCTTCCAGGTTTATCACTTAATGAAGATCAAATTAAGAACATGATTTTGTTTGAGATTGACCAAATTTTACGTCGTAACAATTCAAGTCTCAAAAAGTATACAAGGATGCCTTTTCCTGATGCTGATTCTGTATCTTCTTCAAACAATCGTCTTATCATTAAGGAGCTAGATTATGACATATTAGTTTTAAAGAACGAGTTTGATAAGCTTTCCATTGCCTTAACACATAAGCAACAAAGCACTTTTGATGACATCATGGCTGCAATTCAGAATAATAAAGAAGGTGTTTTCTTTGTCTACGGTTATGGTGGAACATGCAAAACCTATCTTTGGAATACATTATCTGCTGCATTTAGATGTAATGCTCAAATTGTTTTAAATGTTGCATAAAGTGGGATTGCTTCTTTATTATTAACCGGCAGCAGGACGACACACTCCCAATTTATAATTCTTTTGGTTCTTACTGTGGATTCTGTTTGTTCCATATCACCAGATAGTGAACTCGCCAGTTTATTACAAAAAACCCCATTGATCATTTGGGATGAAGCAATCATGATTCACAAGCATGCATTTGCCATTTGGAGGGAAAGTGATTGTTTTTGGAGGACATTTTAGACAAATTATGCCTGTTATCCCAAGTGGTAGTAGACAAGACACTGTTAATGCTTTTTTAAGTTCTTCATATTTATGGCAACAATGCAAAGGCTATCAACTAACCAAAATCATGAGGCTAGTTGTCAAAAACGATACATCTGCTATTCAGCAAACAATGGATTTTGCAAAATGACTCTTGGATATAGGAGAAGGCAAATTTGGTGGTCATAACGATGACGAAACGATTATTGATATTTCGCATGATCTTCTCATTAATGATTCGTATGATCCTATAGGTTCATTAATCAACTTTGAATATTATTCAATTCTTGAAGATTCCAACAATCCGGGATATTTTCAAGAAAGAGCAATACTTGCTCCAAAAATGAAGTTGTTGGAAAAATAAATGATCGATTGCTATCATTGTTTCCAGGAGATAAAGTCGAATATTTAAGTTCAGATAAACTATGCCAATCAGAGTTTATCCATGATTAGTTTGATGCCAATTTATACTCACCTGATGTTTTAAATAGTCTCAAAGTCTTAGGTCTGCCTAATTATAAGTTAGTTTTGAAAGTCGCGGTTCCAGTTATGTTGCTGAGAAACATTCATCAGGAAAATGGCTTATGTAATGACACTAGACTACAAGTGATATCTTTGGGCAAATATGTTATTGAGGCAATTATTATATCTAGAAATAATATTGAAAATCATACATTTATTCCAAGAATGTCCTTAACACCATCTGAAAAAAAAATCTCATTCAAATTCCAAAGAAGACAATTTCCATTAGTCGTTTGTTTTGCAATGACAGTTAACAAGAGCCAAGGAGAGTCTTTATCTATGGTTGGTTTGTTTCTCAAAGATCCGGTTTTTACACATGACCAATTGTATGATGTTTTATCTAATGTTAAAAGTAGAGAATGATTAAAATTGTTAATTTTAGATAGGGATGACAGACATACAAATAAAACTTCTAATGTTGTGTATAAAGAAGTTTTTAGAAATTTGTAAGTAGTTTGTAGAATATTATTTATTATAACGATTTTTTTAATTATTTTTAATAAAACTTTATTGTTAATTTGTTATATTTTTCCATATATTTTTGTTTCAACAACTTAGTTTTCTTATTTACCATACATCAATTTTAATTTACTTCACTTTTCCTGGTCTTTTTATTTTTTATAATTAATTTAACATTTCATTAGACAATATCATTTTTTTCATTAATCCACAAATAAAAAATTTTCTAATAGAGCTTGAAAAATAATTTTAAATATTTATTTAAATCAACGATTATAATTTACATAAATTAAAAAACATAAATCTTCTAATTAGTATTTTATTTAAAAAAATTGATTAATAGTTATGAGTTTTTATTATAAAAAATTTAATTATAAAAGTCAACCGTGGTTCCCACAGGCTATAACCTAGTATTATAATATAATAATACTTTTTTTAAAAGCAACCACTTTTTTCATTAGAAAAAAGTACGAAGATACCAAGTATACATAGGGAAAAGTTAAATAGAGAACCATTATTAGTCAAGAAACCAAATAACCAGTCTAAATCGTCGGAATTTAAAGCGATCAATGGAAAAAGAAAAGTTGTCGATTTTTACAATTGACGCACATGCATCGGATTATAACAAAACCCATTTTTTTCGTTTAATTTTTTAGGCCATGTTTTTTATAGAAAAAAACCAAATATATCATTGTTTGTGATTTTTTGTCCTCTTTCCATAGAGATGCATATAACCATCTGAAGATCCTCAGAAATCCTACTGCTACAATCACATAAACACGCAAGCAAAGAGATATAAACGTCAACAACCATGTGCATGAAATAAAAAAGGGTTGCCTACCAACCCCCAAAAAAGTGAAACATTGTCTACAAGCCAAAATATTTAAAAGTTGTTTTTGAAAACATCAAACCTACGCTTTTGTTTGATCATCCCCAGTTGGGGATATCTCTGTCTCTCCCTTTTCTCCCTTGTTCTTCTCTGCAGGACCCTGACCAACATCAACACACTTGCCAGTCAACTTAGCCAAGGCTTTACGCCATCTAACTACGTTCCAGGATCCTGCATTCTCCATATCTCCTGCTAGCTTGAGCTTAGCCTCCCAAACAACCACTACATCACTAACCTTTATTTCAACAATCACCTCATCTATCTTAGCAGCATGATCCTCCTCCTTCTCAGCCGTCTCCTTGCTTAACAACTCCACCCTCCTCAACAGATCCTGATTAGTCTCCCTCCACATCTTCCTCTGCTCCTTTAAGGCTGATACAACCCTCTCAGCTTGGATCTTCAGGTCAGCAGAGACATGATCGGAGACTTGAAATGAGAATGACATCAGCAAAAGTGAAAGGTGAATATGAAAATCAAAGTTACACTGTCATTTATAGCCTGAAAAACAGAAACCAACTTCAAGAGTGCGTCCTCAGCTCCGAGATTTTCAAGCTTATATTTGTGACCTTAGTAGTTTTTCTCTTCCGGGATCCCGGAGTCTTCACTGTCAAATCTCTGGAGGTTCTCTTGGGAGGGAGAGAAGATGATGTCTTCTCCTTCTTCACTACCAGCTGGCCACTAGACATGGTCGTGTCAAGATCGGCGAGGGTAAAATGAGCACCGGAGTGCGTGACCTTGGATCCTAAACATAAATAAAAAGCCCTGTGAGTTTAGGATCCTTCATATTAGAAAAGAAAAAGATGACCTAAGGATTCTTACCTGTCGACATGGGGACAGTAGCAGAAGAGATTTCCTGAAGACTAGGCGGTTTGATATTGCCATATTTATACACATTTTTAGGCAATAT